CTGGATTTTTTTGTTTTGTTTTAAAACGCAGGATTGAAAAGGCCAGAGAATGCTTCCTGACTCCATTTTCCTTCGTTTCTTCCATGACATACTGCTTTCTGTTCCCAGTAGAGCTGCCATTTTAATAACTTCAAACCTCTTAAATGTTTTCACATATTATTTGTTTCTATCTCTGAAGCATGAGTTTTCCATTTTTCATTCTGACAAGGGCCACCCCCCCCCCAAATAAGGGCTTCCAATTCCATTGAATAGACTGTTAATTTGAAGCACTGTCAAAGGAATGAGTTTCCTATTAGAAATGTGGACAAGGGAGGCAACTCGATTATAATTAAGTCTGTGTTCTTACTTGTGAATTATTATGAATACGCGTTCGGGAAAGAGCCGAAGAATATATCTACACACGTAGAAATAGGAACCAACAAAATGAAATTATTACATCTGGGGATACTAATCCAATATACCAGCAAACTATCTTAAAAACGTGATGAAACTAATTAGATCTTTATGTATAAAATTTGCAACCCATATATTTTTTAACAGCATTTGATTCATTACTTTCAAATCTAACATCAGAAACAAATCTTTCCATATTCAATGATCTCCCAGAATGATCTCCCAATAGAAAAGCCCATAAAAATATTTTAATTAAAACCTATGAGTTAAAAAATAAGGTCTTGTTATTTTTTTTTTACTGATAGAAGTAAAGAGGAAAACTAATAATTATTTGTGTTCATAAAATCTCACTGTATTACATAATCTTGCAAGTTGTCCAGGTTCTTTGTTGTATAGAATTGATCAATTTTTAAAATAAGCCAATCACCAACTAGGCCATAAATACTTTTATTCTTTATAGATACTTTTTTGTTTCAGCAAACTTTTGTGTTTTTTAAAAAATTTTGTGGTGACCTCATTTGTTTTTTCCGAATAAGTCATACAGGCAGGCAAACACTGGATGTGTGGATGGATGCTCATTTCTAGGTAGAAGGTATGATATTCACCATCACAAAATAAAGACACCCATGGGATGGAACCTAAAACGTTTAAGACAGTTTACCCAGATTTCAGAGAAGTTAAAAAAAAAAAAAAAAAAAAACCTGTCCAATTGGTAGTTTTTTTCTTCCTAATTTATCAAAGTCACAAAGTCAAAGTCCAAAATTTGTGCATCTCTTATAATGCACACATACTGTGTCTCAGATTTAATTGCAGGTGGGAGAATCTTTGCAGGTATGCATAGACCTCTCTCATAGGGAACACTGCACCTAGCTTTGAATGATCCTTAATATTTTCCTCTTTAGTTTTGGTTGGGACTGAATAAACCTACAAATGAACAAGTCAGATTCTCTATGTGGGCCATAAAACAGACACATGCAGCCAAATATTTGTGCACATTTAGTAAACAAATTTAAGCCCAAGAGTGTACCTTAAAGCATGGATTCTATGGAGTGTTTGAAATATTTCCTCATAGATATCCATATTCAGGATTTTAAGTTGTAATTCAAATACGTATAGGATTTCCCTTTCCTACTGAGTATATCTTATACCATCTAATTACAAATTTAGCACATATTCACTCTTCTCCCTCTCCTATGCCTTCACTTATGTCAAGACCGCCAGGACCTACTATCCGAGGGTGGACAGATTTGAGCCCAGTGGAAAAGTACCAGGTTTGTGGTAAAGAGGAACAACCTGAGGCTATGTACTTAACTATTGCCAAATTCAAGTTCTTCACTATTCTAGTTAGTAAACTTCCTACCTTCTCTCTGCCTCCATCTCCCCATCTGTAAAATGGGGATATTTACATTTCCTTTTAGAATTGTGATATGGGTTAATTGAAATAATATATGTTCAAGATCAAAATTAGCCACGCTTGCTTTCCCTCCCAATGCCACCTTCTCCACAAGGCTCCTCTAGATCTCACCCATCACCCCACAGTAGCTAATGGTAAGCTCATCTTCCTTTGAATGCCCATGACACTTCATCTGTCTCTCCGGGACTTCGATGCACTGTATTGTTCACTCTTTTAATAAGCATTTGTTGACCATTTATTGTGTGTTAGGATATATTTTTCCCCCTTCTCCCCATAACTAATCCTTAAGCTTCTTGAAGTTACAGTCCTTATAATATTCATCTCTCCCCACCACCCATTGTCTAGACAGTGTTTAAACCCCTAGTGTTGAACAAGAATGTAGTTGTTAATCGTTTGGTATTTGGTAAAATGCCACTATTTGGCAAAACTGGTCATTATATAATACAGACAATATCTGTATATCCATTTTCATAGAAGTCCGCATCCTCAAATAGGATTACAAGCTAGAAAGTATGTTCGTATGTAAGGCCAATGCATGGGATCATCATCATTTTCATCATTATTAAATAATGATATTAAATAATAATATACTACTACTATAATAAAGTAATAGCTAACATCCCTGAGACTATGCACAAAGGTGAATATTTTCCCATTCCCATACGAGTCCTTAGAATAGCTTCTGATAGAGCAGAACATGGTTTCCGACAGGAGATGGTGAACGAACAAATGGGCTGTAGCTATGTCTCTGTGGAATTACATTAGCACAAATCTAAGCACATTTTCAAAGAACTGTGGTTTATAAATAAAGACTCTCTCATATATACAATACTATGGCTCGATGAACTCTAAAGTTTCAGGGGAAATTACACAATTTCAAAATGAGGCTGTGTGTACACAACACCAAGCCATCCAAGTGAAAGCCTGAGCAAATCACTTAGGAATGTGGTCTTTGCTGGCCCAGACATCGCAAGTCGTTACTGGAAATATGTAATGTGGTTCTGACGCTATTTTACTACTCATGGATGAACTGCACTGTGGTGACATTTCACTTTAATTTGCTGCTCCTAATTGACTGCAGGCAAGGAAACCAGAAAGCCAAACTGGTCAGCACCATGTTTAAAGTGAGAACAACTAGGCTCGGATTTAAGGCCAATGAGGGTATCCTACCAATAGAAGTAAATGTAAGTGGATGGTCTTCATAGTGTCTACCTTGAGTTCTCCTTCCAAAATGGAGGAGACACAACTCTATGGATATCACATCACATAAGTGATTTTCTTAGGTGACCTTTTCTTCCCCATTGCTGAGTTTCTTTTGAGAAATACTCCCCAAAGAGGCTCCTGGGGAGTTGACCTGTGCCATGCATCCTAGTTGCTACAGATTATGCAAGACTTCAAGCAGAAAGAGACTCATAAGCCTCAAACACAAGTCCCAAAAGAGTTTGGCTTCTGCGCCTCTTTCATGGTCACCACTCACAACTACCTTGGAGTTCTCAGTTGACACGGCCTGCAGCTTCTCAATTCACTTGGGGTGAGGTACCAAGTGACAGAGTTTCTGAACATGTCCTAAGCGTGAAGGGACTGAGATTGGAAATGTGCCCTCTTCTCCCGATGTGCATTCTGTCCTCGGCTGACGCTGATCAAGAGCCTGAATTTGTTTCATGTTCTATATCTGTTTTTACTGAAGCAATTGGAGTTGATGCATGTCTCGTATACCCAAGGGCCAATCTCTGTGGTGCTCATTCTCCCTTCCCTTTTCTTCTGGAACCATTCAGAAAAGGGTATGTGTGGGGGTGTGGGAGGCTTAGTGCCCAAATGCTCCACTGGAAGAATGTGGCAGAGCCAGATGTGAAATGGACCTCCCCTGAGTGAAGGATTCACAACCCAGAGCCACAGCACATATTGGAGAGGAATGGCTTTCTAACTGAACTCTGGATTTGTAACATTGTGCTATCCCACATCCAAGTCAAAATGTCTGTCCAGATTAGACATCAAAACTGGCCTGTTATCATCTCTGATTTTTACTGAGCATCTTTGAAGAAGAAAGAGTCCTTTGGGGGCTAATTGGTCCCAGGCCTGAGAATTGGACATGGTTTTCTATGGCTACTTCAGAAGAAAACTTCCAATATTTTAAATCCAGGTATCACATAATGTTTCAACTGGAGCACGCACATCCAGAGCATCATAAAAAGAGGGGAAACGTGCGTTATTTGACGCCAACAGCACAGAATCAGTTTTTCGTGATAGTAAGAGTAGGATGGCAAGAGTTAATGTTGTAAAATCCACCGTACTGTCAAGCGTAAATAAATCCAATGAAACTTGTTCAGATAGTACTCAGGCAATACTAAAGCGGCCATTAGGAAATCATCCAAGACCTGAGACACATAAAAACTTTATTAGATCACTGAAATAAAGTGCAAACAAGTTTGTCTTAGAAAGATCCAAAAATCTTTATGCTTTCAGTCTGACGAGCCATAAAACAGTGCCTGACAAATTTTAAGTGATATTCTAATTAATCACTGGATTTTTATAGCTTCTCGTAAGCTGTAAGTTCGATATTAACAAGGCAGCAGGAGAGGAAATCCCCTTGTACTGAGCATGAGTTCTAAGTCTTCGCATAAACCCAATGGTCACCCAGGCCAGACTTTTGTGTTAAGCATCTGCTAGGGACAGAATGGACCATTAATCTAAAAATTATCATTATTTCATGTTGGTCGAAGTAGGATGGAAGTGTGCCCAAATTTCACAAACTGATGGAAAATTGTAACAGCTGTGTCTCTGTCTTGTACAGGAAACACTTTCTGGGGCATTTTTACATTGTTCCTTTGGTGAAACTAATATTTTGTAATACACTAATAATACAGCTCCCTTTAATATCATCACACACTTAATAATTACCATGAAAAAGTATGACCCAACTCTCTTGAGTATAAAAACTTCTGATTTATAATCTTCAATTGGATGCAGGGATGGTGTCGACAATCTAGAACAATTTTATTCCTAGAGAGGGATTTTGTTAGAATGGAGGCAGATTTTTTTTTAAGTGTCTGCCCTCAGGCAGCTCCAATGAGGACCCAGAACTTGCTTTCAAAGAATGAATTAAAAACTTCTTAAAAAGTGACTATCAGATCACCACTTCAGTTCTCATTTTCTAAAAATTACAAAACTCTTTTCAGTAAAGATGTTCACCTACCTCATAATATAAGGGAGCACTATTGCCTACAGGTTTCTTTGCTTTCTTAGATGTAGTTCCAAGAAGGGCATTTGATTCATTGATCTGTAAGAAAATCAAATTCATCTATGACGAACAAGAGAAGCGTACTTAAAGAATAGTTAGGTACATGTAAATTTCAAATACTTAGGTGACTTGAAGGGTTTGGAAACCTAGCAAGGAAGAGATATTCATTAATTAAGTAAAAAATTTATAGTCACTTTGGTAAAGCTGTTAGTAGTTACAGGCATATGTGCCACCTGCCAGGACTTTCCTATGTTGTCATTCCTCTCTGACCTCTGACAGCTAGCCTTCTCTGTAGACTTAATTCTTCTGGCTTGTTATGGACTTTGCTAGAACAGTAAATAGTTTAGTCTTTTATTATTCAATCTTTTATTAAATAGATAATTCCTCAAAGAGCCTAGCAGGGAGTCTGGTATGGCTACAGAGGTTTGGTCAAATGAATGCGTGTAGAAAGGGCAATATTCATGGGACTAAACTAATTCTTCCCGATTAAACAGTTCACATTGATTCTAGCTAAATTTTGTTGAAAAGAATCCACCCAAATTTACCCAACAGCCCAAGAATAGGAAAGTCTTATTTAGTTTATTACTTTATTCTGTTATTTTAGGCAAAAAAAAAAAAAAAAAAAAAAAAAAAAAGTCTTCAAGGGGCTTAGAGGTGCAAGGGACAGGTACCTGCTGTAGAATGTCTTGCCATGATACGATACTGAAGAATTTGCGCTGAGGGACCTGGACGGCAAGAGTCAATGCTCGAATGGGAAGATCATCCTCAATCCGGTTTCCAACTACAAAAGCGATGGAGCCCTTCCAATCATTCTGTTCAAAAAAAAAACCAGAAGGAATTAAATGATAAATACTCCTGGGTAGGTTTTGTGTCTAAGGCTTCCACCAAAAAAACAAGGTAATTTTCACTTTAAGCCCTACCTTAAAGGTAAGCGTTGAGCATATATAGTGTGTATAAATTTCTGACTCAAGTGGCCGCAAGGCGGCAGTGTTGCACCAAATTTCATGTAACTCGACCAAAAAAAAAAAACCCATTTTCTTTTGAAACTAGACCTTTATTTTAAGGCAGACAACTTTTTAAAAATGGCATGCTTTCACAAGAATGCTGTCCAAGAGTAATTTGGTATTAGGAAGAAATAGGTCGTTTCATGTTACAAATATATATTAAGAAATAATCTTGAAAGCAGAAATCTTTTGTTTTGTTCCCTGGTACATCCTAAGACTATAGATAGCGCTAGGCGCATAGTAGGAACTCAATAAACTCTTGTTGAATATTGGGTAACATTGAATGAGTTGCCAAATGGGCTTTTATATGGGGTAAAAATTTAATCCCTGAAGTTTTGGTAAAGCACGGAACTAGAACACAGCTTTTCCTCCTCATGTAACACGAGAATCTCATTGCTAATTCACAAACGAGTACTTCCCCCCACTCCCAGACATAGGCTAAAATATTACACTCGGACATGAAGTTTGCATCAAATAATTTAAAGAAATGTTACTAAATGTTACAATATTCTTATTCAGTAATCCCTTTCTCTGTCTATTATAATGATAAATTCTCTTGAGAAGAAGCAGCTGGCTGGCGAGTAAGAATGGAATTCACTGAATTACCCACTGTGTGGTGCTGGGTGTCAAGGTCAGGCACACCAGGTCTAGTGCTTTTGCACACTCACAATCCTATGGGGAGATGGAACAAGCAAACTTGATAAAGACATTTGGAAAGAGAGATAAATAATAAAGGGGGGCACACTAACCACCTGTCTTCTCTAAGGCCTTACTTCCCCCATTTATAAAATAAAGGAGTTCGGACAGGGCAATACCTAACGTCCCTCTAGCTCTGCTCCAGAAATCTGATTCAAAAAGAGTAAAACTTCTTGTTGATGGATTCCAAAACAACGTCTACGATGAGGTGAAAGGATATTACACAAATTTAATGAATTGCATAATTTTCTGTGGTGCTCTGTGGTTTCTGTCCAGTCCATGGTCAGGGTGATGACAGAACTAGGGTTTAGGAGGGAGAAAAGACCTCAGTGCAAATTTTTCTTTAGCATCGAATAATCAGTATCCTTAAAGGTCTCTTACTTCTCTCCACAGAAACTTACTAACTACCTAACAAAACCCACCAATGTTGCATTCAGAACAGAAACCACACACGAAAGCAGAAAAATGTGTATTTTACCTACAAAGTACGTGCGTGTGTGTGCATATGTACATGTAGGTGTGGCTCGATCTGTTTGCCTCTGTTATATTGGGTTTAAGACCTTTCTCGTTTGTTTGCTAATTCACCACAGGAAGACTGAGCATCTGTTTTTTTTTTTAAATATTCTGATTTTCGGGGCGCCTGGGTGGCGCAGTCGGTTGGGCGTCCGACTTCAGCCAGGTCACGATCTCGCGGTCCGTGAGTTCGAGCCCCGCGTCAGGCTCTGGGCTGATGGCTCGGAGCCTGGAGCCTGTTTCCGATTCTGTGTCTCCCTCTCTCTCTGCCCCTCCCCCGTTCATGCTCTGTCTCTGTCTGTCCCATAAATAAATAAAAAACGTTGAAAAAAAAATTTTAAATATTCTGATTTTCAAAGTAGGTATGACATTTATAATGTATTCTTTTGACAAAAAAAAAAAAAAAATCCACTATCACCAAATGACCTTTCCCGCATTGGATGCCTTTCTTATCTCTTGTCTGCTCCCCCAGTCAATACTGCAACTATAATCATTAAAGAAGGAAAATCTCTTTTATTCTCACAAGAAAGTACACGGTTCCTGAACAGGCAATACCCCCAGCTTCCTGTCAGTTATACTTCCCGATACTGAAGATTTTAATGACCACCTCTACCTTATCCCCTCCCCAGGGCAGATGTCCTCGCCAATATTTGAAAGCTGATGGGGGAAGGACTGCCGCTCCACTCTTTGGGGGACAATTCAGAAACAGGGCATCACAGTACACCATCTAGGCACCATCCACCCATTAGTATCAGGTGTCAAAGGCAGGTGTTGACTATTTCAGACCAGAAAAAAATAAGGGAGGAGGAGGAGGAAGGAACTAACAATTATTGAAATCTGCCATGTGCCAGGCATATGTTATCTCATTGAATCCCTGAGTAATCCCTTTAAAATAGGTGCACTAATACTTTATAGATGGAAAAACAGAGACCCAACGAAGTGAAACAACTTGTTCAAGGTCATTTTGGCACAGAGACCACATACATGGCTTACAATTTTGTGATCATTTTGAAACAGTTCTGAGAGCAAGTCTTTGGGGTCAGAATGCCTTTCCATAATCCTTAAATTGCACCTAATGGCTACCTCATTCATAGTAAACATAATAGATGAAGATTTATATCACATGTTAAAGTGTATAAAACCTTCAAAAATAGATGATGTAGTAAATCCTTAAGACATCTTAAGATTACTTTTTTTTTTTTTTTT